GATGCTCATCCTTTTTTCTTAATAGTAGTTTTTCTCATATTCTCCAATACTCAGTAACCCCCTACGTCCTAGTGGCTTTATTGCCTTTGATCTTTAAAGTTTTAAATGCAATGCCAATCGATATCTTCTGTATTCTAAATTCTTGTTCTTTTTTGTCCTCTCTCCTTATTAGTAGTTTTTTCTCATATTCTATAACATTCAGTAACTCCTTGCGTCTTAGTGGTTTTATTGCCTTTGATCTTCAAAAATTTAAATGCAATGTCAATCGTTATCTTCTGTCTTCTTAATTCTTGTTCTTTTATTGTCCTTTACCCGTAATAGTATTTTTCTCATATTCTCTAGCACTCACTAACCCCTTGCGTCTTAGTGGCTTTATTGCCTTGCTTGGGGTGAAATGATTAAAAAAAAAATGTATGTTCATTGACCGGTTTTGCTTTTTGTTTAATTCACCCAACCCCTCCTACATTGGGTGAGAGGTTTTCGTTTTCTGGGGAGTGCGGGATTCATTTTGTGTTTTCTTTTCGTAATAGTTACTGTGTCTGGATTTAAAGTATTCCCGAGGGAGGCTTTGTGAGTGTCACTGCATTTTTTGTTTTAAAGTTCCGCATTTTTTTTGTCTAGTTAAATGATATTTCTGCCGCAGTTAGGATTGCGGGGATGGGGTGTAATACTGACATTTCTTCTTTATATCCTTTCAGGACGCAGGCGATCATGGCCCTCCACATCTTCCTGTGCCTTATAGCTATTCCCTTCTTCCTCATTACGTGCCCTGGAAATTCCAACTGCCTCTTCCTGATGTTAAGTATAAGTTTCCTTTTTGTTTCCATCTTCTTTAAAAATTCATCGTTGCTCACATGTTGTCTATGGTATCCTTAGCATCCTTCTGTAGAACCCCATTTATGTTACTTCAAGTCTCTTCATCATCTTTGAGGAAATTGTCCAGCATTCAGTTTACCTCCTCAAAACAGAAGACATGATGTAAGATAATGCTTAATATAGAGTCCTTCTACTTCTTCTGTGAACCTTATCACTTCAAGGACATTGGCAATTATGACTCTCCACGATTTCTTCTCCTTTGTAACTCTTTTGCTTTTTATTATATCTCCCAAAACGTGTTCTGCCAAACTTTTACACAAACGTTATATGTTGTTTTTTCTCTGTCCCTCTTGCCTTCAATCTGTCCTGTGAGTATCAAATTTTCCAAGCCCTCTTTTCTCATTCTGTGACCCAGAAATTTCACCTGTCTTTTCCTGATGTTAAGGATGTTTCCTTTTATATTTGGATTTTCTCTAAAGCTTCGTCATTGCTCACATGTTCCATCCATGGTATCCTGAGCATCCTTCTGTAGAAGCACATTTCTGTTGCTTCATATCTCTTCTTTATCTTTGAAGAGATTACCCAGCATTCGCTGCCATACAGGAGGAGAGATATCTGTCCTCCGATATGGCAGTGAATGCTGGACAATCTCCTCAGAGATGAAGAAATTCATGCTTATAGCTGATAAAAAAAATAGACTATTTTTTATGACTGTTTCTCATGAAAGAATTCACTGGACAATGTGTTTATCACCAGAAAGGAAAGAAAAAGGCCTACGAGCCAAGAGAAATAGAAGAGGTAGCATGAAATGCAATTTTAAAGGTTACAGAGACAGAATCGGTTACAGTACTGAAAGAAGGTCAACAGTAAAGAAAGTCTAAAAGACTCAAAGAGCACAAGTAGCTTTGTTAAATACCAGAGTTAATGGAATTGGTAACTAATGTGACTACTCACTAAGGCTATTATGCGCTGTTTTCTTCGGTTCCTCTTGATTTAAATCTGTCCTGTGAGTATCAAATTTTCCAAGCCGTCTTTTCTCATTTATGTACCACAGAAATTTCAACTGTCTCTTTCTGATGTTAAGTATAAGATTCTTTTTTCTTTCAATTTTCTCTAAAACTTTGTCGTTGTTCGCATGTTCGGCCCATGGCATACTCAGCATCTTTCTGTAGAACTATATTTCTGTTGCTTCAATTTTCTTCTTCATCTTTGAGGAGCTTATCCAGCATTTGCTGCTATGCAAGAGGACAAATATCGCGTAAGAGTTCAAGTCTCTTTTCTTTGTTTTTAACGAAAATTTTCTGTTTCTTAATACTCTGCTTAGCTTTTGGAAAGAATTTTTGGCCATCCCAATACGTCTTCTGATCTTGACGTCGCACATTCCGTTCTCTGTTAGAACACTTTCCAGATATTTAAATATTTTTAATATTTGGTTTTAGTATCCTTGACCTGTAAATTGAATGTTGTGCTCATCCTTTTGCTGGTGATCATGTATTCTATCTTTTTTGTTGTTTAAATTTAGTCTTTTTTTCTTGCTTTCCTTAACTTCCTTTGGTAGGAGATTTTGTAGTATCCTTTCCGTGTCTGATATCAATACCAATACGGTATTATCTTCATATCTTATGTTGTTAAGATTGTGGTCGCCAATAATGAATCTTGATAGGACTTCTAATTAGAATTGCTTCGCTGTGTAGGTTGAACAAGTCTGGCGAGAAGGCACATCCTTGTCTTACACCCCTTACTATTTTGGTGGATCTGTTGAACTCATTTTCTATTCGTATGTTATTTACTCTATTTTGCCATTATAACGTTCCGGCCTTCATCAGTGTATGTTAATCTACAGAGAATTTCGAACTGAACACTTTATTCAATCAACGGGGGTAGATTTTTCTTGTTCTGCATTTACTGGAATTACATCAATATAAAAATTCGTATCAAAGAATTCAGTCTTTATCGCAGAGACAAATTCACCGGGAAATATAACAAAATAAAAAGCGGTTGGGTCTGAAATGTTTATCGAAAGAAAACAAAACACTGAAGTGATTTTTCAAATTTTTTTCGACACTCAGTGTCTTTTTATTCTTTTGTAGAACACGTCTTTACCTGCAACGATTATTTAAAAACAAAAAGAAAGAATGAAGAACGGACTATTTATGTCCCAAAACAGTGTTAGAAATATATACAAAAAGGTAATAACTATTATGGGACAAACGTCAATATATGAGATTGACTTACCCACACAAAAGACGGAGTTCTATATATATATATATATATATATATATATATATATATATATATATATATATATATATATGATACTGGATATAGATTCAAGGTTTGTCAGGCTGAGATACTTTTGAAAAGCCAATAGTATTAAATTTTGAATTTCAGTATTTATGACATTTTTGGCAGATGTTTCTGAAGCTAAAAACAGGGAATAAATGACATCACTGAGTATAACACGCACCCTGTAGTATAGCTAGCCTTATGTAAATACTTTTTGAAAAATACCATATTATCCATTAAAATCTCAATGTTATACGTATATTTTACTAAAATATTTAATTTTTCACGATCTAAGAGAAATATTTCGCCATTGCGTGTTTTTTTCTCAGATTTTCCACTTTAAAACTTATTTTCGGATTTTTGGGGGAAAGTTGCTTTGCTGAAACATTAACATTTTAATATATTCGTGTTAAAAATGCTATTATACGATATTTAAAAAAAAAATTTTAAATTAGGTAATTTTTCTCACATAATGTTTGAGAAAAGTATGTTTTATTTTTGAAAGATTTTTTTAATTAAGAGAATTATATTGACAGATTTGTCAATATTGACGATTTCATCGATTTTACTGATAATCAGAAAAAATCAATTTGAAATACAACAAAGTATTTGCTTATTGGCAATATTAAATCTAACCTATTGACTTGCAATGAAAACTAAAATAAAAGCTTCAAGAAAAAAAATCATTTTTAAAATGAATTTTAAACTTGAAGTATCACATTGTTTGTAAGGTTCCTGCAAAACATGGTAGATCTTGTGTACCCGCTTTATTAATTTTGTTAAAATTCCTGTCTTTGAGACAGAAAACGTTCCATTATGCTGCTTCCCAAAGAAGCAATCTAGCCGAAATATCAGACATTTTGTTATCAACATTTATCGACTTTGTGTTTTATTATTTACTTTGCTGAGTATCTATCTTGCAGTTTCAAATAAGATTTTATTTTTATTTTTTTTTTTAAGCCGAGTAAAAATCTCTGAAAACGTGTGTACTTGTGTATAATACGATCTTATTTTTTAGCCTTAAATTTTCGTTCAAACTTTTTGGTAGGGTAACCAAAAAATATGTTAATCTTAAGAAATCACGTGGTATGGATATATTTGTTTTGGCTTCCGTAGAAGATCAATTTACAATGAATATACGTAACAAAACTGTATTCCCTATGTTAACTTTATTTTTAAGCATTTCATCCAAAGCAAGACGGGAGTGCCACTAGCACGCAGGGGGTTACAGAGAGTGTGAGCGAGAGTAAAGGTGGGGGGGTGAGGAAAGGATATAGAGAAGGGCTTGGATCACGATCAAGGTATCAGAAGATGTCGATTGACATTACATTTGAATATTTAAAGATTATAGCTATCAGGGAAGCAAGTAAGAGGAAGGGAGTTTCACTGATGGGAAGTGCAAGATAGGAAGCTCTTGGAGTAGAAGAGGCGGTTGCATTTAACTGTTTCGACAGTGAAAGAGTGGGACCGAGATGCCAACCTAGTAGAACGTTTAAATTCATGCAGTTGGGGTACCGGTGAAAGTGGCTCGTCAGAGCGGTTGCCATGAAAATTTTGTAGAAAAGACAGAGGGAAGCCACAGCACGTCTGTGAGAAAGTGACTGTGGACGAGATACCAGATCAGGATTTTTATAAAAATTTAATAAAAAATACTTTTTTTTATATGATCCGAAAGGATTAATTTACAGTGATAAAAGCAAAGGTGTTATGTCTGATTGTAGTGATCATTTTACAACACTTGAGCTAAATTTTAAAAACAGTCCGTCATTTTGTGTGGCTAGCTTCTTTTGAGGAATGTATCCGAAGCGCGTTTTTTCCCCTTTTGTCTCTCAAAGAAATATTTTCTTTGCCTTATATTTATGGCACATCGCCCTGAAGCGGAACGGGAAATGTCTAACTGCGTAAAGCAGTTGTTTGTATGTCGGATAAGTGAATGTGTTGGCTCGACCGGCAAGAGAATAAAACCGGTTCGGCAGGCAACACTCTTTTTGCCCGACGCTCACAACAAACAATTTGGAGCCCTGCTGTTTCAGTTTTTCTGTCTCTCTAAGGACTTCGGGGGTGATTACAGTCACGGATGGATCAATGAAGATGACGGCGACTTCGCTTCCGCGGAAACCAGCGTTTTTATTCTGATTTGCTCGGGCGTAGAGATCGCTCCTTATTTGGCGAACGACTTCGGCGAGACCGGGAACATTAATGTTAGATGTGATACTGCGTTGGACGTCGAAGTGATTTTTGTTCATTAGGGAGGTTACCGGGATATTAAAGTTCTCTGGACAGTAGGCGTAGGAAAGAACTTTATAGTAGCCGTAGCCCGTGTATGGAAGCAGCGAGTTGATAAATCGAGAAATTTTGCTAGCTCGATATTCTCCCATGGACAACAGATCGTAGCCAAATATTATGGTACCTGAAATAAAAAAAGATAATTATGATTATTTATCTTTATAATATAAAAATAATACAAAAATGTGGCACAAGGTCGAAATTTGGGAGCCGAGTTAGCTGGCCGCATTCAGATGACGGAACGTGCCATATTGAAATCCGAAGGCGCATTGGATAGTAGAAGATGCCTTCCAAAACCCAAGCAAAGTATTAAGAAACAAGAAAATTTCGTTAGAAATAAAGAAAATAGTACTGAACTGCTATGTAATATCAGCCTTCCTATATGGCAGAGAATGCTGGACAATCTCTCCGCAGAAGAGGAATGCTGCACAATCTACTCCTTGGTTTAAGTGAGAAAATGAATGAAAGAAAGAAAGTAAAAGGAAAGATAGAAGAAAAGAAAGAAGGAAAGATAGAAGACGCGATAACACTCTCATGTGTTTAACGTATGTGTCAGTGAAATGGAAAAAATTGTCAATTTTAGATCTTTTCATTTGTACCCCCTTACTTCTTTAAATAATAATTTCATATTTATGATTGTTATTGCCGTATTTCGTTAAAGACGATAATGTATACGAAAGAAAGAAAAAAGGAGAGAAAGACGATGATATATTGAAAAAGGAAGAAAGAAAGAAAGAAAGAATGAGAGAAAGACAATAATGTATAAGAAAGAAAAGAAGGCAGTAATGTATGAGAAAAAAAGAAAGAAAGAAATAAAGACAATAATGTATAAGAAGGAAAGAAAGAAAGACAATAACGTATAAAAAGAAAGAAAGAAAGACAATAATGTATAAGAAAGAAAGAAAGAAAGAAAGAAAGAAAGAAAGAAAGAAAGAAAGAAAGAAAGAAAGAAGAGGAGGCGGTAATGCTCTCATGTGTTTAATATCTGCTTCAGGGAAATGGAAAAATTGTTAATTTCCAATCTTTTCATTTGAATCCCCTTACTTCTTAAAAAGTAACGACTAACATTTATATTTATGATTGTCATTGCAATATTTTGTTAAAGTTGTTAAGCTCAAATATTAAAAGATGCAATAGAATTTCTACTGATATTTTATTTTCATAGAACTCGCCATAAGCTTATTTAATCATTAACTGAAGAATTAAGATTCATCAGAAATTTCAAATAGGAAAACTGAAATTTTCACAGCTTAAAACTAGTTATCATCATTGTTATGATGGAGGTTCAGTTTACAATACAAATTCATTGTAAATTGACCCCCGCCTATATTGACCCCCCCCGTATATTAGCAAAAACATGTGCCTTCTACATGACTTCTTAAAATTTAAAATATTTTTAAATATCATAAACTTGAATGCTTAATCCATAGTAATACATAAAAAAGCTTACCAGATTATGAATTTAAATTAAAGAAATCACCTGGTGGTATAAACATTTTTTGTTTTGATCTACTGTAGAGGATTAATTTACAATGTCATATTGCAAACTAGAAATACCACACATTAACCTTTATACATTATTTACTATCTTTGTCGCCATGTTTGTCGCAACGTTTCGGTCTTCTCCAGGTGGTTGGAATATATTTCGAGTTCCATGCTTTTGTTTGTTTGTTTTTTAATGGATGTCAATTATCTCCTGTTAATTTCCCTCTGAAAATTCTCCACTGCCTTAACCGGGTATTGAACTCACACTCTTTTGGGTCCTGTTACTGGATTTAATCAACGCCTTTATCCGCTGTGCCATGCGTCCTTGATAACATCGGGGTATGAATTTCTGGGTATAATAAACCTAATGTCTTCAGCAACCATTTTTACCAGTGCTCATATTGCAATTTTTGCTGTTATCATGCATGTTTTTACCAGAGCTCATATTGCAAATTTGTTATCATTGCTTTTCTCTGGCACTCCTTACGTGGTGATAAATATGGTGACAAAGATGAGGACAATAGTCCGAATAATGTAAACAATGTACATAATACCTCATCTCAGAAATATAGACAGATTAATTTTTATATTTAATAAAATTTTCTATTTTTTGTTTTTTCTTGGTTTCAGTGAGAAAATGAAAGAAGGGAAACTTAAACTGTTTAACCTCTGTTTTAGTAAAATGGAAAAAGTTTTCGATTTCAAATCTTTTCATTTGTATCCCCTTACTTCTTAAAATAACGACCAGCATTCATATTTATGACTGTTATTACAATATTTTCTTAAAGTTGTTAAGCCCAAATATTTAACGATGTGATAGGGGAATTTCTAAGGATATTTTATTGTCGTAGAACTCATCATGAGTTTAAAAAATTAAATTCACCAGTAAATTAAAATAGGAAAACCCTGAAAATTTCACTTCTTCTTCTAGTGATAATAACAGGGTTTTATTCTTGCTGCCCAGGATCAATGCTTACTAACTAGAAATTACCAAGCACACATACGGATAAATTATGTTAACCCGAAATGCAGCTTTTGAGACAAATAATCAGAAACAATTGACCATCTTTGTATTGATGGTTGCACGGTGTTAGAACCAATTAAATATAAAATTCTGCCAAACAGAGGCGGAGGGGGGGGCAATATCTGCATTCGAAAATCTGCAACTTTTATGGAAAGGAAACTGCAATAAACTGGTATGAACATCACCCAGAACCGGTTACAGAGAAAGGACCTGTAACAGTTTTATGGGACTTTAAAATACACAGAGACAGAAGAATCAAATCTGATCGCCCAGACATCATAATCAAAGACCAACAAAGAAAGAATGTGGTTTCTTATTTGACATGGCAGTCTCTGCAGATTGTAATGTATCGGTGAAGATCTTCAAAAAACTATCAAAATACAAGGATCTTGAATTGTAAATCTAAAAAAAAAATGTGGCGTATGAGGGCAACAATAATTCTTGAATTGATTGGAAAAAGTTCTGATAGATTCACTGAAGGGATTCCTGGTAGCCCAAGACTTAAAGAAATATAAAAAATTGTATTCCCAAGTCACACATTACGAAGAGCTTTATTCATGTAAAATGTGTGGGAAAAGGATCAGTGGAAAATAGCATGAAGCGGTTTCTGACCTTAGGTCTCTGGTTGGGACCCGGAAGGAAATGTTTATACAACAGAAATCAAAGGAAATAATAATAATACTTTTCGCAATGTTTAAATTTATATGTCACGTGAGTTTACATTTCTATTACATAATAGCAGGATCGAATCCAGCAGCCGTCATTTGACCTAAAATAGTGCTGTTGAAAGTTTGCTACAGGCTTTTTCTTTTAGTTAGCTGTTGTACTTGACAATTAGTTGAGTGAAACTTGAATTTATTTCAAGTCTCTATCAGATTATCTAACTTGCGACAATAATAATAATAATAATAATCTCAGAACGAGTCTAAAATAGGCGCGATTGGGTAGGAATGGTGATCCATTGGAAATTGTGAAAGCGAGTGGGATTTAACTAAAAGAAACTCTTCGAGACAATAAAATGAAGTGAAATGAAACTTAAACGATTAACCATTCTATTATGCGTTTGGAAGTATCTTTTTAAAATCAGCATTTTGATGAGAAGCGGGGATTGATAGGTTTTACACACACACACACACACACACACACGCACACACACATACACACAGAGGGTATTTTTTACAGTGATGTTCACCCTGTACAAGGCCCAAGAGCCGTTCAAGGTAGAGGATTACAAAGTAAGAGGCACAGTTTATGTGAATAGGTGGGGAAAATAACAGTTAATCCTAGGCTTAAACGGGTTAAGATTGTAGTGATTGGGGAAGCATCCTCTTGGGTGTCGGTTTCACAGAGCAGAGGCAAGAAGCTGCTCGAATAAAACTTACATCTCACCAATGGAATACAAAGGAAATGAGGGTGGTTCGCTACAAAGGGCGTGGCATGGTGGGTCCTAGCCTAGAACTGGTGGCACTAAGGAATGTAGTTTGAGCACTTTCTATGGAAATAGAGAGAGCGAGCAGTGAGAGGCTTGCGACGTTTCGTTTGTGGGGAAATGGGTTGCAGGGTGGAAATTAATTCATCACCCACAAGGACGCGGTGACACTTTCGGGCCAAATCGAGACTGGAAAGTGAAGACAGTGCAGCTCCTGACTATTCGAATATTATTGAATCGTTTACACATACGCTGCTAATTATTTTACTTAGGAAAAATTAATTGAGAAAAGAAACAAAAACGAAAATAAATAAAACCAAATCCATTGCTTGCGGTCGTAAATTCACACAATGCACATTTTTGCTAGGGAAATACGATGACGGAATTTCCCGTCATTCGCAATTAATGAACCGAGGTGGCGGGTGGATGAAATTTAGAGGATAAGAAAAGGATAAGTAAAACATTAACATAAATTGCAATAAACGGGTTGTTAATTAAAATATATATATATATATATATATATATATATATATATATATATATATATATATATATATATATGTATTGCTGTACTTACTGCTTCGATCTCTTAGTGATTGGGGCGGTTGCGTCTTCACTGAAACGATAAGAAACAATCTATATAACAAAAGGAAAAATGATTGTCTGTCCGTCACACATCGTCTGTGTGTCTCTTGGCATGCACGTATGTAATGTGTATGCGTCATGCCCACTACATTTTATGCACACGCACAAATACACAAACACACACACACACACACAATTTGACTGAATCTGAACTAAGACTGCATCTATTTGAAACAAAAATACATCTCTTCTCACTAAGTCTGGACAACTCCTGCTCTGGGTTCAGCAATAAAAATGTTGGAAAAAAATAGCCAAAGAGAAAAAATCAAATAATTATTAGATTTTATTGAACTTTCGGTAATAAAGAATTTTTCTAAATTTCATAAAATTAAATAAGTGGGGTAACAAATTTAAAAATAAATATATTTTTAGCAAAATTTTCTAATAAAAAAAAGAGACGTTTCTAAAATAATTTAATTCATTTGTGAAAGTTTCATTAAAATCCGACAATTATTTGATTTTTGCAAGAATTTCCAAATCAATGTGTTTTCCACAGCAAAAAAGACGCAAAAATTTTACCATTTTAATGGTCGCCCACTAAAGGCAAGAAAAAAATATTAACCAAAATTTTGACGGCTCTAAGAAAGATTAAAATAACATATTTTAATAATAAAAAATTCCTTTGGTCTTTCCTCTTAATAATAGTATAAAAACTTTGATAATAAAACTGTTTTTATTAATTTGGGGGCATTTTTTCATCATCATATGCTCATTTTTTAACGAATCCTTAGATATCATATGCATCCATTATACTTTGTATTGATTTCTTTCAAATAGATATTGACAATCTTGGCTTGAATTTAGCGATATAATTTTGTCTTTATAGTTTTTAAGTCACGGACCCCTACAAGAACTAGCCTTTCAAAGACAGACAGACAGACAAGCAGATACTCACAGTCTGATTGGTTTTTCATAAAACTTGTACGGGCCTTTCTCCAGACTACACCTTCATGCAAACTGTACACACATCACTTTTCAGCAAGCTAGGCTTGAAAGACATTGTGATCAATTAATCCCCACCAGGTATACGAGAAGATAATGAAGCTGTGATAAACCGTTGATAAATGAGAATTATCCCTTGCTATTATGGAGTGGCAAAAGATGGCGGTCGTGCAAATAATGATGACGCACGTTTAAATGGCAAACATGAGCCCAACATCAAGAGATGCCGAGCGGTCGGCATTGCAAGTAGTGGCTGGGGGCGTTTCATTTCAAGCAGTGGCAGAATTCATTTTTTTTTATTTCTTTCAATGGGAAACCATGGATTGAAACAAGTAAATATAAATGTTAATTTTTATTTGATCTTCACGGACTCCCTGAAGCTCAACTATGGACCTCCTAGAGGTCCACGGATCCCAGGTTAAGAAGCCCAGCTTTATAGTTTTTGAGCTTCTCCATCAATACTGCAGGTCAGTATTTGAGTTCTCGTTTCAAAAATGAAAACAAAATCATCTGTATGAATCAGCCATCATAACCAAATGCTGAAACCATGTAACACTGGATTTAAAGCCTCCCCCCCCCACAAAAAAATCAGTGGCAGATTCGGGCGTTGGCGAATCATTTGTTTCTGTTATCTACTGATTGTGAGTTCAATTCCTGGATCAAGTTGTGAAATAATAATCTAATTCAGCAGGAATGAATAAAAACTGGTATCACAGAAACAAAATATCACCATAATCAACAGATATCCTATGTCATCCAAGCAATGGCCACATGATGATGTCCAGGTTGTAATATGTCGAAACGTTGTGTCTACACTAACATCAAAATGAAAATGCCGGAAAATCCTCGGTTCATTTTACCGCTCCAGAATGTACCTAACTCCTCTTATGCTTTATCATTACAAGAAGTTAAGCAACTTCAAACCTGGTCAGTACCTAGATGGGTGACCGGTTGGAAATACCAGGTGCTGTAAGCTTGGATGTGCGGGTGGTGTAATGGATTATGGGTTGGAATTGTTAATCGGAGAGTCGAGAGTTCCAATTCCAGTTGGCTTCGTTATATTCCCTTACGCGCAATTACTCTTGAGAAAGGTGTGAATTGACCTCTTATCCCCTCAGCTATGGGTTAATTAGTAGAACGTTTAAATAATCATTATTATCACCAACAAATTATTATAATCTAAAAATATTTTCTGGTTTTAAATAACCTCCCCCAGCTTTGGGTTAATTAGGACTTATACCTAAATGATTATTAACTCAAAAAAATCGTACAATCTAAAATATTTTCAAGCATTAAATAATCAGCAAAAGGTCGATAAACTGTAAAAAATGATTGAATGAATCAATTAAAACAAGTCACAGATCAGACAATAGAATAGCTATGCATACACCAAAAAGGATGGTGATATGGCACAGGTGCTCTTGCGATTCTTGTAAGCGAAGTTTAGATATGGTACAAGGCCGGAAGTATGGAGCACCTAGTAGGGATAGAACTTACTACTTAGTAGTTATTGATATAGCAAGATAAGCTTACTAACCATTACACCATATCGAAGTGTCCTACCAGGGACATTGATGGTTGCTTAATAAATGTTCAGCTATCGCCGAACCAGATGTATTAACGCACCTCTGTCTTTATTAATATTAACTGCTACTTGCTGATTGATCCTTGCTTCATATGTTGTCAGTGTCATATTTATATTATAAATAATAAATTACCAAAATGACATGGTGGGGACGTAGAACACCCTTTTGGATCAATGTCAACATTGGTTGGGCAGTAAAGATAATTCCCGAGAAAACGATATACGCATCTTTATATATTAAGAACAATTTTAGGAAAATATATGACAAAGTGGAAAAAGGGTTTCGTGTGATGCGTTTCGTTCTTTAGGACTTCATCGGACTAAATTGATGTTTAAGTTGATGCGATTATACATGCGTATGAAGAAGAGGAGACGCTGAAATTTAAAAAATATGTATTTTGGGTATATAGCTCTTGATTGGGCCTTCATCACAATAAGTAGGGAGGAGTAGATGTGATAGGCAACAATAAACTACAGAAGAACTCCAAATTGATCGCTGCATTTAAGTATTGCATTAATATTTAAGCGCAACTTTTAAAAGTTCATCAAAGAAGACGAGCTATTGTTGAGAGTTGTGCCCCTTTAATTGAAAAGTGTGACACACTGACATTGGTATTATATATATATATATATATATATATATATATATATATATATATATATAAAATAAAGTTTCCTCCATCTTAGCGTTTTGCCGTGATTGAAAAATGTCATAATCGGTTTCCGTAAGATCAGCTGAATATGGCGGGTAAAGTCGAAGAAACAAACCAAGTTTCAAAATTGTTTCTTGTGTTATTATTGCTGTTCAAAAATATCAAAAAATATGCAGATATCAATGGTGTTAGGAAGTTTTCATGCTGAACATTTGTAAATAACAGCGAAGTGACTTAGCTAATAAAAGTTTTATGTGTTTTGTGTTTTAATCTAACGAATTTCATTTAGATTCTTTTTCTTTTTGTTTCCACCACTTTTGTTCTTAAATACTCCACATTGTAATCATAAAAGAATGGTGAAATGTTGTAAGAATCTGGACGCAAATTTACTGAGGATGATCCTGCGATTTAAGCACTTTCTAAACATTATCATCTTAGCAAATTCTTTTCTCATTTAATTATATTTAGCATTTTTTAAATCCAAATTATGGTCAGACTAATTACGATGACCAACTAATACACTGAATACGTTGTTTTGTAACAAATCCCTTTTGTGTTCATATAAGCTTTTAAATACCTATGTATTTCTCGTGTCAATTCCTCCTTCGCGTCACACGAAAACTTTTTCCACTTTGTCATATATTTTCATTTTAACGTGTTTTTTTTCGTCTTTATTGTTAATCTTTTTTCATTTTGTTTTTCTTCCAACGAAAGTCGGGATTTTCAGTTTTTGATTTGCAAAAAGAGAATTTATTTGGAAAATAAACGTTATTAAAAGAAAATATAAAGGCCATAGAGTTATACTTACGGCCATCTGAATGGACTGCTACCTGGAAAAAAAGAAATAAAACGTAAATTAGAAGACGTAAATACATTATAGATAGATTTTTCACCCCAAGTAAGGCAACACAGCCACTAAGACGCAAGAGGTTACCGAGTGTTAAAGAATACAGAGACAGAAGACAGAAAGAAAGACAGAAGATAACGATTGGCATTGCATTTAAATTTTTGAAGATCAAAGGCAATAAAGCCACTAGGACGCAAGAGGTTACCAAGTGTTAGAGAATATGAGAAAAACTACTATTAAGGAGAGAGGACAATAAAAGAACAAGAATTAAGAAGACAGAAGATATCGATTGATATTGCATTTAAATTTTTGAAGATCAAAGGCAATAAAGCCACTAGGACGCAAGAGGTTACCAAGTGTTAGAGAATATGAGAAAAACTACTATTAAGGAGAGAGGACAATAAAAGAACAAGAATTATGAAGACAGAAGATATCGATTGACATTGCATTTAAATCAAAGTTGATTGTAAATCAAGAAGCCGTAAGAGACTTCCACAAGTCATTTCAACTGTAAATTTCCGCCAATCTAGGACTGCAATTAAATTCGTAAAGTCTAGGTACCAAAGAGGAAAGCAATGTTTATTTTGAATAATACAAAAATGTGACACAAGGCCAAAAGAAGTGATAGGGAAAGTCTGGTCTTATCTTAAATTTAGCCGCGATCACATGACCGAAAGAACCTCACAGTACAAAACAAGACATTCTTACTTACCATTCTTACTACAGTCACCGTAATACCTCAAGTCTCTATGTAGTCCTAACTAGTTCCCATATGTACAATTTCTCGTGGGTGGGAAGAAGAAGAACCTTTAAAATGAAATCCCAATGAATATTTACCAAGAGGAAAGCTCACCAGAGCAGTTATCATGAAAATATTTTATAGAAAAGGCAAAGAGAATCTATTTTAGGGCGGTGGGAAATTGATTGAAGCCGAGATGCCAGGTCAGGATCAATAAAATTGCTTCTTTATATTTTATTAAGAAAATACATTGAAATACATAGCAAAAGCACCAGATCAGATGTGGCAGGAATATTCAATGCATGGCTGAATAATAGATTTATAAATGTGTAATCTAGATTCTGTCGAGAAAAGATGCCTAGTACGACACAGTAAACCAACTTTTCTAGCAGCAGACCTGAAAATTAGGAAGGGCGTATGTCCCAGAATATAGCCCTGAGGGTCCCATGCATACAAAAAGATCTAGAAGAGTGGACGACACTCTAGAAGAAATGTTTCATTACAGAATTTGGAAAGAAATGTTGGATCAATTCAAAACTCTGTCCAGAAATACCAGTTGAACTTTTGAAGAAGACCAGCACCTGTCCAATGCCTTCGAGATATCATAAGCCCGAGTTTTACGATTCATGTCTACGTTTTGATAGACTCTTTCAGTAATAACCGTAAATACATCATCACTTGACCTAGAGAAGCGAAAACCATATTGCTTATCTGAAAGAAGGCTCTTTGAATTGAGATGCTTAACCAATCAAAAGTTGATTAAAGCCTCTAGTACTTTGCAAGGTAGAAGAACCAGACGCTTTGTCTGGGTTCTGAAGGATTGGAAGTAGAGAAAATGATTTCCAACAAGCAGGAAAGCAAGAAGCATTATTTATTGTAGAATTTACAGAGAATATGAGACAGTTCAGGAACGCATTTCTTAAGGAAGCCATCAAGTACACACGATTTGTGAAGACCCAGTTTAGAGTTGATAACAGAATCCATGGACGGAGTTGTAATTGCTCCGAGGAGCTGCATTCGCTGATTCCCAGACTTTATGAATTCAAGCGCCCTACGAGGCTGGCATCCCGTTCTCACCCTTTCACTGTCGAAACTACTAAATATAGCCGTCTCTTCTACTCCAATAGCTTTATGTCTCGCACCTCTCTCCTGTGGAACTCCCTTCCCTATTCCAGTTACCCTGAGAGCTATAATCTCCAACTATTCAAGTGTAATGTCAATCGACATCTCCAGTTGCCTTGATCTATCCACTACCCTTCTCCTCATCCTTTCTTCTATCACTCCTATCTGATCTTGCTCCAAATTTTCTGTAACCCCTTGCGTCCTAGTGGCTTCCCGCCTTACTTGGGGTGAAACGCTTAAAAAAAATATCACTCAATACTCAATTCTAATTGGAAAGTCAGGCAAAGGTACTCCAGGTGAGCCAAGATTAGAATTGGAATAATTCCTTAAGGAGATTAAAAATACAAGATAGTTTAATGTAAAGTGTTGCGCAAATCCTGTACACTCCGTTTATGGAAGTGGGGATATGGGCCCAGCTCTCAACTCACCAAGTTGCTGTATTTCCACAGCAAGTAGATTTTTATGGAGTAGAGTTGCTAGCTCAATGCCCAGCTAGTTTTGAATTCAGAGTTTTCCTGCTCCGAGACTGATTGTCAAGCAAGGAAAGAACGTTCAACCTGCATATTAACCCATAATTTTTTTGGAGGGGGTGGGGAGCGGATTCAAACATTTCGCAGGTGGATTTTTGAAACACTAATAACACTAGTGTTATGTTTTGCATTGCTCTCTGCGTAGTAGTGTCCTGAATAGCAACCGGGTTTTCTAGGTATAGCTGTCCCATGTTCGCCAGTTGTTCTCTATTTATACTTGTCTATCTAATTTGCATACGATACTACAAATAGTAAGTGTAGTAACGTAGAGCATGGCTTACCTAGCATGAAGCGTGTTCGAGTTGCAGCAGCTGTAACAGGAAATCCGGTTCGAAGCTAGGAGGCACGCGTGCGCATCGATCGTGATTTGATGAAATAGACTCTTATCGATATAAGATACTACTGAATATGAAGCGGAGTAGAAGTTGGTGTTTTATTGTTATTTGTTGTTACTCACATGTCTTTTCCGTACTTCCTCGCGATCGAAACGGAATAGTCCATTATTTATTGGTGTCACGTTTTTAACGTCAACCTTCTGTCCTTAGGGACAAATTCACTGTACACCGTTTTTGTTTGTTTACCCCTTTTACCTCTCGTCTCGCTGCGACTTCCCCTTTTTTGTTACTGTCTTTATTTTTATTTTTTTTTTTATCTATTTCTCTCTCTTTCCGTGTGTTTCTAGAATAAACTAGTCTTCCTTAGCATTATTTCCTTCCTTTTTGATTACGCCTTACCGTTATCATCTACTCTCGGCAACGTGATAGCCACGAGATGTGTGTTTTCTTTTGGCGGGATCTTCAGAGTTCTTTTTGGTTCGGTACCTGCTTGCATGCACCCTTACTCGCCGCTCCGCCTTTCTTGATAACTTTGGTATGTTTTATTCCATTCTCCTTTTGTTTTTTCTTTATTCGCCTTTGTATTGAAAATGTATTGTGGTAACACTACAAGTAGTTTTTGCTCCGTATTTCGGACGCTCATTCAACAAGTTTGTGCTTTCAATTTTGATATTTAGAAAGAATGTAGGACCTTTCTATGTTTGACTTTGCTCTGTCGTTTAGACATACTGCTTTACCATGTCTACCATTGTTAATTGCCTCTTCCTGGCTCTCAACGCTTAGCTGCCTTTCCGAATTTGTTGCTGTCATATTTAACATAAATACGACACGTGCTTCGCTGGTCTTAGCCACCTTCGCCCCCTACCGTCTGCCTTGCGGCTGCTGGTAGTAAGTTTAGCTTCTTTTTCTTTCTTTCTTTCTTCTCTTGCTTCCTCCACTGTCTCTCGTCTCCTTTCCTCTTTGTCCCTTTCGTCGCAGCGGACTCATGTTTTTTTGTTTATTTTTCTTTCAGATTTTTACCTGATTCACAGAATAAAATCTTTCGTTTTCAATGAAATTCGTCCGTGTTTTGTGAATTCGAAACACTGGCTGTCTAAAGCAGCGTGTTTTTTAGCATGTTGTCTAAGGCAGCACAGTAAAAAATCAAAGATTTATTCGCACGTGGCGCAAGGTCTTCCATAATGCAGTGTGACCAGCTTCCTCTCCCACGGCTCCTTGCGGATTTCTCTACTGGACTGCTCCCGGCGTAAAACTAATTTGACAGCTATTAGCCTTTTCAACGACCCGTGACGCTCCGGCACTCTTTGTCTACCCTTCTCTGCAACAGATCCCAGCACGCTTCAACAAACGCCATGGACCAAAAGTCCGTTGTCTCTAATAGAACGCGCTCCAGGTTCTCTTCTGCCTCATCTAAGGCCTTAGCTGTCCGTGCCGAACTGGAGATGGCTAAAGCAGGCCTGCTCTTCGTGGAGAGAGAGAATAAACTGCGCGAAGCAAAGGCTAAAATGGAGTCTGAAGAAAAACTCTAGAGGCTCAAAGAGATAGCTCTCAAAGAAGCCGCACTAAAGGCCTTTGAAGAGTATGTCTCGCTTAGTGAAGAAAAAATCCAGCATCCACCTTGACCAGACTCCTGCTGATCCCATGCAGCGTACGAGAGAATATGTGGCCGAACAGTCGGCCCAACTCAACTCACAACCTGCTGCCCCGCAATTGGTACAATCATCTGCCCTGCAACACACACGCTCTCCTGCATCTCAATTCGATCAGCCCACCAACTCAGAAGCCTCCTTCCGCTACTTCCCGATCCATCTGAGGATCATCGGAGGAGGTGCTCAACTGAAAACCGCCATGACCACTCCAGTGACTTAATGCGTTACTTCGCCCGGCGTGAATTACTTCAAGCCAGTATGCTGAAATTCTCTGACAGACCTAAGGACTATCGAGCATGGAGACGTTCCTTTCGCAACTCCATTGTCGACCTGCGTTTGACACCGAGTGAAGAAATGGACTTGCTTGTGAAATGGCTCGGCCCTGCCTCCACTGAGCATGCCAACCGTTTAAGGACAGCCTACCTTAACCATCCTGAGAAGGGCCTGCAGGAAATATGGAAGCGTTTGGAAAAATGCTACATTCCCCTGAAGCCATCGAAGACTCACTCTTCGAAAGGATCCATAGGTTCCCAAAGGTAACCAAGGACTACGACAGACTGAGGGAGCTAAGCGACCTCCTCACCGAACTCCAAGCAGCTAAGGACGAT